GTGTTTTTAAACGTTGTTTTAATCGTTTTATATCACCGATCTATAAAAAAAGAATAATATTTTGAAAAAAAAAAAGAAAGATTTTGTTTTTTGTTTTAGCATTGAAATTTACTGCACAAAAATACTGTTCAGAATATTGTAAATCATTATTTTCATTTTTATAATCAGCTAATGTTTTTAATTCTTCACTTGTTGGTAAATATTTTTCTAATTGTTTAAGAAAATCATATTTTAAATTTTCATTATCACATGAAAGCATCCATTCACGAAATACAATTGGTGATACTTTTAATTGACTAAACATGATTGCTAAAAGTTTAATAAATAAATTCTATTATAGTAAAATAAAATTTCAAAAAAAAAAAAAAAAAAAAAAAATTTCTACCAAAATTTTGTGCAGCTTTAGCATCGAGTACACGTAATTCTTTAGATTTATCAACAAGATCATTGATTGGTTGTCTACCTAAAATAATTTATATTTTTAATGAAAGAAAATCTAGTGATTATAATGATTTACTTGGAGCTACTTTGCTTGCAAAATTTTTTCGTATATCAGAAAAAAGTGTATCATTAACATATTTTGCTTCATCAACATTGACCCAAATCGATTCTTTTTTTATTGTATATGGATTGACCTAAAAAAATTAGATAATTAATGAAAAAGAAAATAAGAAAAAAATAAACCATACTAACTTTGCTCCATTGAACTTTTTTAATTGGTTCCGTAACAGAATATTTTTGTTTCTTACATAGATATTGTGGTAATTGTGGAGGAGCTAAAATTTATATTAAGATATTAAAAAAAATGATAGTATAGTTTTTCACTTACCACCAAATCCTGGCATCATCGGAGGTGGAGGCGGAGGAATACTAGAACCTATTATTGATGGCAGCGGTGGTGGTGGTGGTGGCATGACAGAAGTAATAAATGGTGGTGGAGGAGGTGGGAGTGGTACACTTGATCTATAATAATAATAAAAAACTTATTATCTTTATTTCGAATGTTCAAATTATACTAACATAAATGATGATGCTTCTGTTGATTTTCTCTCAATTTCGATAATAAGATCTGATAGAAGTGAGCGTATATCATCATTAATATTACGATCAAATGTAAAAGAAGATGATGGAAATAATGTAAATGGTTTGTTAACATATGATAATTGTGATTTAGTTTCATTTGTTGATATAGGTGAAGTTAATATCTAAATATTGATGAAAAAGTCTTTATAAACAATTCTTATTATACATGAATAACTTATTCAAGACTATATTTTCGTTCTGACTTAAAAAAAAAAAAAACTTATTCTTGTCAAGAATTATTCATTTACTTTCTTCGGATCATTATGATTTGAATTGATGTTACTATTTGGATGTAAACACGATTGAACTTGTTCTACTAATGCTTGTGAATTAGGATTTCTTGTGTCAGAATTAAGTGTTATCCATTCCAATAATAATTCACCTATACAAAAAGAAAAAACCAAACGTTATGTCTTATAAAAAAAATAGATTTTTAAATTACTTGAAAATTTTGCATGGTTATTTTTAAATGAATTTGAAGATGAAATAGGTGAATGAACGTCGTCATCAACACCGGGCGATAATGGATCGTTTAAATTATCATGTAAAAATAATTTTTGCATAGCTTGTCGAACAGTATTCTTATCAATACGATGCAATATTGGTGATGATGGTTTACTATTCGAATCAGTTTTTGTTACAATAAATGATGACATTTGATCGAAATTAAGAATAAAACATGTCTAAATTATTATTATTATTATTATTATTTGAATTGAATGATTTTAGTATAGAGATGTTCTTTTTTTTTAGTTTACCTCATTAGAAGAAATAATAGTTGAATCTGTTTGTATGGATTTGTCAATTGTTCTTATATTATCTATAAGATCAACTTGTATCGATACAGAATTGGTTTCTATTTGTTGGACATCCGAATGGAAATTATATTCAGTCTAAAAGAGATAAAATTAATAACGCGTATATATATATATATATATGATATAGATATAATTTTATATAACATACTCTAAGAATGTCCAAAATGGTTGTAGCTGTCGATGGTTTATATTTATATTCTTTACTTTCAATCAGATGATGATTAACTATTAAAAAAAAAAAAGAATATATACGTTTTATATATGAAGGTCTCAATTTTTTGTTCATATTTGTGAGCATATTGATAGAAAAGCGAAAGAGATTGATATTCTCTATTGATTAGTATGAAAATGAAGGCAGAGAGAAAAATGAACAGATCAATAAGAGATATAAATGATAGAATAGTGTGTTACAAACGTACCAAAAAACCAATCGACAATGATACCTGTTTGCTTGCCTCATTCGTTTCTTCAGTCACACTTTACTGACTAGAACACAGAACGATATCGATTTAACATCCTTGACACATGACATGAAGACAGAAAGCTTCACACCTTACACCATCATCATTACAATGAAAGACAATATATCAAACATATATGTTCACAAGACATAAAACTCACAATCATTGGTGATTGTTGATGATGATAATCTAATATCTGTATCTTCATTTTCTAAATTATTATTTGTCCATGAATATAAATTTTGTGCCTAGATAAAAAATTAGAAAAGAAATTATTGACTATTAATATTCATGATGACATTTAACATGATTCGAAATAAAAATGCAAAAGACATTTTCAGAATAGACAACAACAAATATCAATGAGGCACTACTTTATAAATTAAATATGACATTCAGTTTGTATCGAAAGAAAATATCATGATAATCATGTTTATCATCATTATATTCGTTTCAATCTATTCTCCAATAACAAGTCGTACATTAATTGAAACAATTAATTCAACTAATATATTACAAGAAACAAATGATGAATATTTTCATTTTAATAAATCATATATTTCAACTCATCCTCTTATTTTTATTAAATTTATTCTTGTATTTTTTCTTGGTTGTTTCTTTTGGATATGTACATGCCATATGATTATTCGACAAATTTATATTGATAAACAACGATCAAAATCTTCAAGAAATATTCAAGAAAATATCAGTATAATTCCGATAAAATAAACATGATTAATATATATTTCTTTACAATGATATGACAGTTTGATTATTGCAAAGAAATAAATTTTTTATCAATGAATCGTATTCATTTCGTCTTTCTTTTTTTGCTTTTTCTGTTGTCAATATCCTTCATAATTATTCCTTATATATATATATTTTTTTTTGCCATGCTTCAGCCTGTTAATTGAACTAAAAATGCATAGACAACGTTCTACATATACCTATAGGGGTAGAATATTAATGTCGATGGATATCTTCAATGTCAAAAGTTTGTCAGACTTGTATATAGTTTAATTGAGAATGGATATATTGAACATCAAGGTTATTACTCGTTTTATTCAAGGTAAAAACTAGTCACAACAACAACTATAAATATATTGATTCAATACGAAAAAAAAAAAAAACTTGAATTAATGCGGATTATTAACCTTGCATGTTTCATTTTTTTTTTCCCAAAAAAAAAAAGAAATTGATGTCTATAATTGTGTGAATATGTAAAGAAAATGAATGAAAGAAAAAAAGAAAGATGATATCTACTATTATACAAACAGAGCGATAATAACGTTCTATAACGAGGTGAGATGATAAATAATGATATCTAATTCAATTCGGACAGGTTGTTTGAGCAGGCGCGCGCGTCTATCCACACTTTTAACTTGAAGAATAACGTTATAGGAAAAGAAAAATGTGTTTGTCAAACAATTTATGTCATTCACACATCAAAAACGCATCATATCGTGTCCAATTATGTCGATATCATTGACCATTTTTACATCCATATACAAAGACGAATGATGGTTTCTCACACTTTTTACCTCTACCTTATCCAACATATACATACAATACAATTGATTACCTTCGTCATATGACAAGGTTTTTTACACCTTCCATGAATGATCGTTCGATAATATACAAACGAATAAAACTATTTCTAATTAAGATGATTATCCTTAATATTCCATTATTTTTGTCTTAAAAACAATATTAAATAAAAACAAAAAAAAAAAAGATAGATCATAAATACTGAGAAGAATATGAGAAAAAACAATTAAACTCAAACATGATCGTATGTATATAATGAATTATATTTCCCTTGTGTCTTTGAAAAAGAAAAATTTACTATTTCTTTTCTCCCTAAACGATAAAATAATCAGCACAAAAAGAAAAAACAAAACATTGAAATTCTTCACATACTTGAAATAAATCATTATCTTGATTATTTTCTATTTTAAGTACATTAAGACCAAGTAGACATGTACAACATTGTAAAATTACTTGTTTAATTAATGTTAAATCTTCATAACGATTTTCAAAATGAATTAAAAACCAATCAAGTAATAATTCACCTAAATAAATATATTTATTTATTTTTCATTGAAATAAAATTTTATTTAATATTATACCAGAAAATTTTTCATGTTTATGAAATTGTAAACATGAATGAATTAATATTGGTGATATTAAATTATCATTAATATTATTTATTGTTAATATTTGATCAGTAAGATTTTCATCAGATACTGTTGAATTTATTGATGTAGATTTTTTAATATAACCACTAAAAAATTTTCGTAATACATGTCGAACATAATTAATATTATTTGAACGTTTATCATTCGTATTTATTTGATTACGAAAATCTATTAAATTTTGTAATTGAATATTATTTATATCTAAATCAGGTGTTGTAGGTGTTGATGATAAATGTGAATGACATGTTGATTTTGACATAATTATATATGAGAAAAAAATATATATTCGATATTAAAAAGAATTTTTCTAATGATTTGATTTGATTTATAAATGAATATTTATTTGAAGAATATTCCAACAAATAAGAAATATAAATATGATAAAATTGACAGCAGCGATAAAATATAAGAAGACAAAAGATGTCATCAAATGATGGTCAGATTGTCAAAACACAAGAATAATAATTGATTGAATAAAGTGACCAATTATGATATAAATATGAACATAACAGGAGATATAGAATTCTAGCGAGGGAACAGAGATTTTTGTTTCGAAATAGATTAGATAGGATGCAGATTCTTCGTATTTATTTTTTATCCATTAAACTTGGAAATTCATAAATAAATAAATTTTATTAAAGAAATTGTGGTGAGCAGTTTAAAATAAATAAATAGAGAATGATAAAATTTGAAAAAATCTATTAACAACAGATTCAATGTTCATATCCTAATTCATCAAGTTATGTTTCTGACAGTTTTTAATATTAGTTAAAGACAAATGAAACTATTTTAATTATAGAATTACATATAATTGAGAGAATGAAGAGTGTCAAAGAATACCGTCGGACAAGGTTGTACACATCTGTCAACTACCTAGATTTCACTTTCAATAGAATAAAAAGATAGAGTATGAAATTCTGTACATTTCTGTCTACTTATTTTTGTTTTTCGTTCAATGCAAAAAAAAATTTTTCACGGACTAATGAGGAAATCTCTTCAGATTTCAATGATTTTTTTCTGCCTATAAATACTACATAGTGTTCTGATAAAAATCCTAAAAGAATTCGAATTTGGATAAGCTATGGTACTTTTTTGTAGAGGCTTCAGATTCTTAGAGAACTCGTCTTTTCGGATTTTGATCTCAAAATTTGCATATATAGAGAACTCAACTAGACTAACCTTCATATAAAAATTCACAAGTTTCGAATAAGCCTATTCAAGATATAGGTCCTTTTACATAGATAATGTACATAACATACATGTTTTCAAAGCTTCATATCTTGAAGAAAGGTTTTGAATTCGTTTTATAAAAGTTGGTCTAGTTGAGTTCTCTATATGTGTAAAATTTTGAAATCAAAATTCTAAAACATAAGTTTTTTGAAAATTTGAGGTCTCTCGGAAAAAGTTCGATAGTTTCGCTAAACTCAAACCCTTTTAAAGTTTTTATCAGAACAGTATCTAGTATCTATAGGCAAAAATGTATTAAAACCAGAAGAAAGCAGTTTTCTCGTAAGTAGTTTTTAGCAATCTAACACTTTTTTTGATGTTTTGGTTAATAACTATTGTATCTTTGATTTTTTTCTTTTATCTATTCAATGTGAAAAGTAATAGAATAGATCGACACAATTCTGTATGCTCTACTAATTAATATAGTAACTAAATTTAGCTTTATTTTTTCTTTTCAATTCTGATGGACGATCAAATGAGTACGATATCGTACTCATGTGATTCTGCATAATAGAAGAAAAAAAATAAAGGTAAACATGATGACTATATCATTTAGAAGAGCATAAAAAACTGCGTCAATCAACTCTATTGCTTTTTATATTGTATTTATAGAAGTACAAAATTATAGGTACCGTAGCTATTAACCAAAACATTCAAAAGTGATAGATTTCTAAAACTAGATAGTTCTTGAAAAATTTTTGATATTGAACGAAAAACAAAACAAGTAGATAGAAATATGCAGAGTTTTATACTCTATCTTTCTATGCTATTCACTGTTGTCCTTTGAATCAAATTTGTAATCAATCCGATCTGATTGGTCTTCACCTGTTGGAAAATATTTGAAGGGGTATGTTATTTTTATTTGATAAAACTTGTTTCAAGCAAGTTTGATTATTCTTATCAAAATAATCGAATAGTTTTATTTTTTTGTTACGTTCTTCCACACGATTTTGTTTTCTTTAATCGAAGTATCATTTGTTTCTCTTAAAGCACAATCAAAATTATTTTAGTCGAGCTAAATATATATTATATATGCTATAGTAAAGATCAAATTTAGGTTTCGATTATCGTCCGATGAGAAATCTTAATTACGTTTTTGTTTAAATATATTTTTCAATATTTGGCTTTTATTGAACGATATTTTTGTTATAATTGAACAATAGAAGATTTATGTTTACAAATATTTAACTTTCTCTTTTAGATTTCAAAATGTCAAAAGACATAGAAATACAGCAAAATACTGACGAAAGTTCGGTTGCCGAAACTTTTCGCGAAGGTACTTTAATTATATTTTTTTTTTCCAAAATTTTAAGTTTGAATTCTATCTGTTTAGATGTACATGCTATTGCCGTTGAAACAAAAGATTTAATAATTGAAGCAAGATTAAATTTAACTTTACTTATTGGTTGTATTTTATTAGTATCTCTTATATCAGTTTTATTATCAACATGGATTGCGAAAACAATAACAAATAGTCCAACATCATTAGGTACAATTGTTAGTTATTATTTTGGTTTAGATCATAATAATACTGAACAATATATAACATGGTGGACACCAATACATATGAAATCAAAAGAATTAATTTCAAAAAATTTTTCAATTAAAACTACTACTACAACTACAACAATAAAAACAGTTCCAATAAAAATTCATTATAATGAATATTCAATATTTCGTATGATTATTTTACCATTTCTTTTTATGTGTTCAATTTTTCTTGCTATACTTGCTTATTATGCACGTGTGCAATGTGCAAAATATAATTTTGCTTGGGGTACTGTACCAAAAATATCATTTGAAAATGGTGATTCAATTATTGCAAAAAAAACTATTGTTAAAATGAGAGCAATTGAACCAAACATTGATTATGTTATTGTACATGGAGCAAAAGAAGAACCTGATAGATTTGCATTAGCTGATACATCTCAACCATTACATGAAAATGGAGATATTATCGATGAAGGAACTCAATGTGAACCAGAAGATATTCTAAAGTAAGAAGATTAGAAAATAAAATAAATATTCTATTCTTAATGTTTCTTATTTAGAGTAATTACACATGATTCATCTACATCTTAATTCCATATGAATACTCAAACTTCACAATCATTAAAATAATATTTCATTTGTGTCAAATATTAAATCTCAAGAAATCTCATAAATAATTAGTCAAACTCAATAATCATTTATTTGTTCTTCTATGATTTATTATCGTAGATATTTTTAATTTTGTATATATATAGATATATGTATATGCTTTCTATATAATTGGTTTTATATTAACAATACATGAAATTCCAACATTAAAATTTTCCATAGGCAATAATGATTTATATTTTTTTTTCTTTGGGTCCATCAATAAAAGACATTCGGTCAAAAACCGCCATGATTGAGTGGCTGCGTTGTTCGACACGCATCCACAAAGTACTGTGATCAAACTTTAGTATCACTAGCCATAGAATGACCCTGAACAAGTCACTAACGGCCTTTTGTCTCAGATCACCAGAGAAATGCGAGTTCACGTTTTTTTGGACCTGGACTCGAATCTGAAAGGATTCGCAACTCTCTACGAATAACCCATCTGATAGCATGATGACCATGTTGTGACTTACACATGCTCTTGTGACTAGTATGTAGAGCTCAAGTAACTGAACACGAGAACCAGAGGTGCACCATCTGCCACTAAATGAAAAATTCCTCTCATTATTAAATTCGATAAGAGATTCTTTTGGAAGATTGTAAAATTTTTCTCTGAGAAGAAAAAGTAACAGATGCCCTATAATAAATAGACTAATCTGATTTTTTTTTATCTTTGAAGCATTTAATAATTATTTTAAATTTTGCTTTTTATGCCAGTAAATAGAGAATTGAATTTTTTACAAAACTGTCCACAGTGAACACCCGAGTAGACATAAGGTCAAAAATTGAAAGCCTGTTTTTGCTACGAAATTCAAGTAGAATGGAAGATCAATTAATTAAAAATTAGCTTGAAAATAGTACTATTTATACAATTCACGTTTGCTTACGGGATTCACTGAAGTAACAACCAAAAACAATACATGCGATAAATTTGCATAATGTCAGCTGCCAATTAGTAAAAATAAGTGTTCAGTTACCACTGATCTTTTCTGAGAATAAAATTTTCTTTTTCTCCACTATACTCACGAGAAGACGTTCCCAACTATCAAATCGCATTTTGATCGAGTATGTAGTCACGCGATAGACCTTAATGAGCTATAAAACATTCTATAAGGATTTAGTTGTCCGAGCCTTCTAAACAGAGACATACGATTATTACTATCACTAGTTTTTCTTTTACTACTGTCCTAACATATTCGATATCTTGACTAAACATGTATGGATCCAGCTCAAATTTATATCAATACTAAGGCATTCAGTACTGATTAAGTTCGCAGAGGTTGAAAATAAATTAATGTTTTTTTTTAACCGAAGGTATGAATTTTTTGACATATCGATTGATTATTAAAAGACAACATACACTCTTGCTGAAAGATGTAAGTATTGATTCATCTGATTATGTTTAGGACACATTCATTTCATAGTTAGAATTTGTGTGAAAATGTCAGCTCATTGGTGGGTGGTTTAGTTAACAAGAACTACAAGAACGAATTCGTGTACTTTTCACTATGAAACATATGGTGCTGGCACACTAAACTTCATTTCCATAAAGATATCGATATTTTACATGCATATTTCACTGACTGAAATAGAATTGTCTTTTTTTTTTGAATAGGTCATTGGCATAGAATCGTTGATGGTCGAAAGTCGGAAAGAGAAGAAATTTTACTTAAAACCACGTCAAAGATTCAACTATTCGATGTATACTTTCATCGGAAGTAGAAAGTCATTGCTCGTCGTCTATATAATCAAATCCTTTTTGGTGATATGGACACAGATGTCGCGAAACGCAATAATACACTTTAATTACAGTCATTTTTCATAATCAGTTATCATCGCCTATATTTACGGCTATAATTAAATATGCGTCGTTTAAAGCTAGATATCTTGATATACATCCAAATTCATGCAGAACTGTCACAGAGGTTTGGTTCGGATTTAATGCTTTAGAATGCCATATACATAATTGTTCCTCATTTTCATTCATTCGGCGCAGGTATTATGCCTATATATTATGTATTGAACATTTTTTTTCAACAACTATCACTTCCATTAATTAAAATGATTCCTGGTTTTCGTTGATTCCAGTCTAATTTATAAACATATTACTGAAAATAGATCATATGATGAAAAGTGCACGAATTCATTTTTCTAATGTACCAACAAATGAGCTAACATTTCCACACAAATTCTAACTATGAAATGAATGTGTCCTAAACATAATCAGATGAATCAATACTTACATCTTTCAGCAAGAGTGTATATTGTCTTTTAATAATCAATCGATATGTCAAAAAATTCATACCTTCGGTTAAAAAAAAAACATTGATTTATTTTTAACCTCTGTGAACTTAATCAGTACTGAATGCCTTAGTATTGATATAAATTTGAGCTGGACCCAAACATATTTAGTCAAGATATCGAATATGTTAGGACCGTAGTAAAAGAAAAACTAGTAATAGTAATAATTGCATATCTCTACTCAAAAGGTCTGGAAAAACAAACCCTTATAAGGTGTTTAATAGCTCATTAAAGTCTATTGTTTAAGTATGTATTCGATCAAAAAAGCGATTTGACAATTGGAAATGTTCCCTCGTAAATTGATTTCATGTAAACTATTTGAAAGACTATGTAGAAGTTTGTACAATTAGTTTGGAAAACGAATTGGAAGAAAAATATTGAATATGCGAGGGTTGATCTTCCTTCGTTTGTTGTCTCAATCTTTTCGAAAATGAATTTTAGTCTTGTGTTCTACGAATTCGGACAAATTTTCCTCTTCAATGTCTGCTCTAACCATTAAAAACAAATTTTAAATGAATAGATGTTATTGTTTATGTCTTGCATATCATATTGAGTTAGTTCCACATGTTTGTCGTTCCGAAATAGGTCAGTGCCATCTCTTTACTTTGAGTAGTTATGCCAGCAAAATCAATGGGACTAATTTTTTTGAGACATGATATATCGGGTTGCAATGTTGGTGATAACATAAATGAAATAGCCACTTGCCAGCCGCAAGTCTCTTCTTGATCTGGTATCGGTGATGAATCTAAATGTGTTGTATAAATAAATCAAGAATAATACGGAAAATATAAATGTTCATTACACGTAGCAGTATGACCTGTTCGTGGCAATTCAACATAAATCACATTAGGATTTAATAATGAATATTGTTTGTAGAAATGACGAGCTAATGGTACAGGCAATGCTTGATCCATATCACCTGGAATGAAATATCTGTTTGTCTCTTTTTATTTGATTCATTTCTCTTTTCTACATACCGTGTAAAACTAAAACTGGTAGTCGAGTCTTTGTTGGTGGATATTTTCGATAATATTCATCAGTAGGATATCCTAATATACCAGTTGTTTGAGCAGGACAAAAAATATCTCCCATTATATGCATTGCACTAAATGTATTTGCTGACATTCCCTTTATGAAATCGCACGAGACTGATTTGTATTTTCCATTGCCAAAAGACCAAAGTTCGGAAAAATCATTGTTGAATTCAATCTTAAAAGAAAATTTATATGTTTTTTTTAAAATCTAAATAACAATCAATTTACCAAATTCGATTGTCCTAGTGAACTAGTTTCATATTGTAATGGTGTTTTTTCGAGAAAATGTTGAATAACAACCTTATCATTGGCATCACATCGATTGATTCGATAGATCAATGCTGGTATTAATTGCATCAGTGTCGGATAGAGTAAAGATGCTATCTGAAATATTTATTTTATATTCGATCAGATTGATAGAAGATTCATTTTATTTTTTATACCTTTTTTCCCATTTCAGTATTATTCGTTTTTAATAAAGAAAGACACGATGAATCTCCTTCGAATTCTTCTATCATTTGATATGAATAAAGTGCACGCATTGGATTTGAATCTTGAAAATGAACAGAACATCCTTGTTTATCTTGAGCACATCGAGAAAATAAATCCAAAAGGATATAATTTATATATGAATCAAATTCTATTAATGGAATTATATCAGTTGGTACAACCGAATCGAGTATGATAGCATCGACTTGTTGTTTATTAACTGTTAAATGAAGATATCGTTGTAAAAGATAAGTACTTTGACTTGATCCCATAAGTATAACACGTTGATTCGGTTTTAAAAGATAACGATCATGACCAATAATAACATCGAGGATATATTGTAAATCACGTGCCGTATTTGTAAATGTATTACGTTTTAAACGATATCGATTTTGTTCAATATATGGTAAACAAGCAGAGAAATTTGACATAATCGAAATAGGACATTCTAATAAACCACTTTGACCAACACCTCGTTTATCAGTTGCATATACAGATAATAAACCATGTTGTGTTGCTACAATACTTATGGCTTCATTTTCCATAACAGATATAGGTAGACCGCCTCCTCCTAAATTAAAAAAAACCAACAAACATATAAATTCGTAAAAAAAAAGAATTTAGTCTACCTGGCATTCGCCATAGATGATGAGAACTATTTTCATGATCTAGCAGAAAATAACGTTTAACAAAGATTTGCATTGTTTCCGTACAGGTTGTCCAATTGATGATAGCCTCATTCCAATCGATAGGTACATTAATAAACATACATTGAGCATAGACATTATCTTTTGTTTCGGTCTAAAAATCATCGAATGATGGTTAAATAAATAAATAAATAAATAAAAGAATGTCAATGTGACATACGCCATCCGATAGAACAGAACATTTAGACCAATTTGGTTCAGCTATGGAAAATTTATCGAAAGGTAAGCAATTCTTTGAAGTTACAATCTTGGTCAATACACAGAGTAGAATCAGTGTTCTTTTGCAAAACCATTTTCTACCATCAGAGCTCATCATTCGATAATTTTCTATATAAATGATGCTTTTGTTCTTTCGAACGGATTGTGTTTTATGATAAAAGATTAACGAAAGTAAATACTTTGAATGCCAATAATGATTTAGATGAAGATAAAGATCGATAGAATAAAAGAGTTGGATGAAGTGTGTTGAAAGAAAAGATTTTTATGATAAATATTGGCTTAGTTAAATACAAAGACAAACGCATGTGCAAATTTTCGGCCATAACGTCATACTTTACATCTTTTACTGAAGATTGGCGAATACAAGACGATATTTACATCTATTATTTGACACACACATCCTGTCTATGACGTTATATACGCATATCTATGCTATTATAGAGAGTGAGGTTTTCAAACTTTAGGTTTCTTGCTCATGATGAATCGATATTATTTCTCTTGTGCATTCTTGTGATGAATACATTAGTCTTGCACACACTCTTTCGCATAGAAAATGCGTAGAGCATTGTTGGGATTATTCTTGATTTATTTATCTTCATTTTAGGGTAAGGATATCGTTCGAAGAGAGCAATCATCTGTTGTCCAATCAGTGTACCCATTAAATCTTTAAAGCGAGCGTAAGCCAATCTTTGTGGACTCATGTGAAGTAATAAAGATAGTGTGTATCACATTGATGCCATATTAGGTGAGTTGGATCCGAACTGGGTTAACCATAGGTCAGGGTGGGTGAGTGTGGGTGGTGTAGATATGGGTATGGGTGGATGTAGGTGTAATGTGAGTGTGGGTATAAGTCTTCCCTTAACACCCACACCCACATCTACATCAACATCCAACCCCACCCTCACACCCGCACTGCACCTACACTGCCGCATTCACACCCACACCCTCAGAAAACTAAAAATATGAAGTTCAGCATAAAAATCAAATTCAATAGCTTCTTTTGTCTTGCTATCGGCAGGCGTAGCCTTATGAGAATTGAGAACTCTACAAGTTGCATTAAATAACGATTTAAAATAAGAAAACATCAAACTTATAAATTCTTGTTAAGAAATAATATCATTATTGGAAAAAACCACGCCAAATAAAGTGTAGATGTTGTTCAATATCACTTGTTTTGAGCTAGTATACGAAAAGTTTTCAAAAAAAAATTCTCGCTTCATTCTTAATGTTAGCATATACGGAACGCCACAGACTAAAATATAAGTTGTTACTATTAGAAATTACAACATTTACGAATTTCACATCGTATGACTTCGTGCAGGTGCACCAACATACTTTTTCTCAAAATAAGTGGATGGTTAATTGATACATTCAAATATATCGGTTTTTTGCCTGTTGCGTGTGGGTATGGAATGTAAGTGTGAGTACGGATGTGGATTTTCTCTTTACATCCACATCCAGAACCACATCCATACCCCACCTACGCCCATTTAGGTTAATTTTATGGTGTTTTTAGAATTCAGGGAATAATGGAGATATAGAAGAAGCGTGCATGTATAATAGAGAAGCTTTTGCGCAAGAACAGATCCTTCAGATGGATCATTTCGCTGACATATAAAAGGAGTCACCTGCATTAGTTGATTTCACGCATGGTTGAAATGCCAATCAGGAAATGTAGATTCATAGAATATTTAGTTGTGGACGGCATTATGCGAAAGAATTTTAAATTACGGAAGTCAACTAAGTATGCTTTCATTTATGAACCTGGAAAATCTCTTCCATATTGTTGAAATCTGTTTGCTTGTTTAAAAACCATTGTAACTAACGTCAGCTTTATTTTAAACAGCCAAATTCTTCCACTTATCCTTCGTAATATGAAGGGTGTGGGCGCCGTTTCTTTATCTAAGGCCATACCAGTATATATATTCACGTTCACATCCACTCACCCTTGCACCACACCCTCATCCACTCGGCAGGAATAGTTAGAGATTTAGGTGCGGATATTGATCGTAACCATATGATGACATCACTTGCAGCATCATTTTGTGTTTCGTCAGATCTCGTTATAGTTATTCATAAGAATATTATTGATCAACAAAATACTAGAGTTTAGAGAAGAGGAATTATTCTAAATAACAGATATTTGTGTAATACTACATGAAAAACTGTGAAATAACCCCTGTTGCAAAAGTCTTTACACAAAATGTTTATTCATTTTTCAGTCACCTAAACGTCATTGGTGAGAATCAAAAGCAGTTAGCTAAAATCAGATTTTTGTGTTCTTTCCGAATATCTGATCAGAATATTTCTCTGGGTTAACATTGATTAGAAATGAGCCAAATGTTTGACAGAGTGATAGATGATGTCTGTACAAAAAGTCATTCTGCAAATGTTTGTTCATCTTTCAGCCGCTAAAAATATTTGATACGAACCAAAAGTAGCTTCTTAGAGTCAGTCTTATCTGCTCTTCTCTGATATGTGATCAAAATATCTCTTTGGCTTAAGATTGGTTAGCTGTAAGTTGATACTTGAAAGATGCGAAGAATGACATCTCGACGAAGAAAGCACATGTTTTCCTGCTATTCATTACTTATGTAAGTTGGATTTTGAAGCAGTTCGAAATTGGTAATTTATAGAACATTCAATTCTCTATAAAACCATATACGATAATAGGCTTCAACTCAAATGAATAAAAGGTTGTAGACATTTTTCTGAGAACTGATTGGCGCGTAAAATAAAATGCTGCCAAAAAGTCAGTTTTTCAAGATCTTCTATTTATAATACAACAGATTGTATGTATTTGTTTCGAGATGGAAAACCAAACTAAATAGCATAGTTTGTAGAGCAAACTTCGCTCTACAAAATTGGCTGATGAAAATATCTTTCATGTTTTGCGTAGAGTAGATATCGATCAAAACACAAAAATACATCCAATAAAATTCTGTACAAACATCATTTTCGACTCTGTCACACATTTGGCTTATTCTTAATCAATATTGAGTCAGTGAAATATTCTGATCAGATATTCGAAAAGAGCACAAAAATCTGATTTTAGCTAACTACTTTTGATTCTCACTAAGGACGTTTAGGCGGCTGAAAAATGAATAAACATTTTGTGTAAAGACTTTTGCAACAGAGGTTAGATTTATTTGAATCTCACAACAACAACGAAAGGTTAACAAATGTTTATTTTGAAAGTATCCATCGAATTATAAGTAATGCTTAAATAGAATATATTGAATAAGAAGAAGTAGCTGTAAAGTAAGCTGACAAAGACTAACATGTGTTTAAAAGAATATTGAGAAATCCATCATAATGTACAGTAGCAATATCTAAACGACCATCATTGTTAAAATCATTGACAGCAACAAAACTTGGATTGTCTGAAGTCGATATAGAAATTGGCACTTGAAAATCTCCGTTACCGTAAACAAGATAAATATTCACACCTAATGGCCAGTTCTCAACAATAATATCCAAATAAGTGTCACCATTGAAATCACCAACGGCTATGGAATATGCACAAGCCAGAGTTGGATAACTCTTTTGTTCATGAAAGTATCCATTACCATAGCCAATTAATAAACTTATAGATCGACTTTTACAGTTAACTGTGATAATATCCATTATTTTGTCACCGTTAAAATCTCCTACAGCTAGCATAACTGGATTATTCATTGTTGGAAAAGAATTTGTTACTAGAAAAGTTCCGTTTCCCATTCCCAAAAACACGCTCACACTATTGCTATAATAATTAGTAGCAACAAAATCTGATATATTGTCATTGTTAAAGTCGGCAACGCCTGTTGAGTACGGCAAATAGCCGGTCACATAGTCTTCACTGAATATCAAACTTTCGTATGGACCAATCAATAGCACCTTTGCGGAGTGACCGTCTGTACAAGGAATTACAAGGGTGTGGGTGTGGGTGTGGGTGTGGGTGTGGGTGTGGGGTGTGGGGTGTGGGGTGTGGGTGTGGGTGGGTGTGAGTAGGCGTGGGTGCAATGATAGTATCGTCTCCATATCAACACCCACACCCACACCCACACCCTTTCCAAAAATCTGTGGAATTAAAATTTAGTAGGAAAAATCTTTTAAATAAGGTCTAGAAATCCGACTGTGTCATACGATTCTACGTATAAAGGTAGATAATTTTTAGTCAAATGCTCGATTTATGTATTTCAGACGAAAGTCTATGTCAAGAAACCTCTATATCAAAAATTTCACGGCGTTTGAACATGCCTACGGAAAATGGCAAAAGATTTATTTTCTCAAATTTTATTCGATAATATAAAGTGTACCTAATTTTTCCAGATGTTTTTCAAGAGAATATTCCTCAATGGCAAATCATTTTGGAATGAGAAATGTGTCAATCATGTAGCCTCTAACGAACTGTAAATACCATTAGAAGAGTTCTTATTTTTAATTTTTTCTTATCAAGATATTAACTTTTAATGAATTGTTTTTAAGACATTGGCGTGGTCTCCCTTAGAGAAATCAAAAGAATCGAATGTTGAATTTCGACTTGAAACTTTGCACATATAAAGTAATTTTTCAGTTCGATCAGCCGAAAATCATCATGTGACTACGGAACAACATGAACTTCATGTCAATTAAATTCTTGTCATCGGTACTCGAATAACTTGCTAGGAAAATATTCGAAAATCTTGATAATTAGAAAAAATTCTTAAACACAGTCAGGACAGGAGATCTGATGTTGGATCTTGACGAGTCTTATCGAAAAACGGTCGAATTTTCTCGGGTCACATAGGATCTACGCTCGATCCGATTTTTTTTTCGGCATAGAAATCCAACAGTCGGATGCTATTTTCAGAAAATGTCTGAATGATATGGTAATCCGCTAGGATTCGACTGTCGAGAGCCTATATCAACACTTCGACCATTACTGATAGGATCTGATCGAAATTATCGACATCCTATCGAATGTCTTTGAGCCGTTGAGAGAAGATAGAATTGGCATGTAAATTCTAAATTGTTTGACCATTTGCAAGAAAGTGAGATTTTTCGCTCTTATTGATTCAAAGAGAGAGCCGAGGTTTTATCAATTGCTATAGTTGTAGGCTATAGCACATGTATATTCTATTAATTAAAAAGTTTCAATATTTACCACTTCCAGTAGGAGAAGTTTTAAAAACTAGGGTATGGGTATAAATCTTTCCTTAACACCCACATCTACACCCACACACAACCTCACTCTTACACTTACACCCTACTAGTATAGCAAGACTTGGGGAACTATCGATTCTTCTGATTACTCTCGTGGTAACTCGTCCCGACCATAGCTACTTTATCGTGTCCACATTTTTTTTTCCTGTATTGTATGCCTGCTTATCTCGTCCGACTCAATAGAACGCAAAGAAAAAAAAAGTGTGCAACTACACCAAAGATAGAAACGTTTGTTGGCATGTGTCATTTGATAGTCGACGACTAAGTGTTGGACATGTTTACCGCCAACACGACTCGTGCAGTTGCTTGTCGATCTTCCGTTTTGCTGATGATCAATATTCGAAAATGCGACTATACTACAGCAACACCAACAAGCAAATTGACTTCGAGTTATTTTCATCATGCATCCTCCTTTCCATTAGTTTATAAAACAGTGAGCCAAAGTTTCGAGGAGACAGCAAACAAATATTCTGACCATGAATGTTATGTTTTTAAAAGTATGATTGTTTCTTTTTCTCATGCAATTGACGATCTATTTGATTAGGTGAACAAAAACGATATACATACAAAACATTTAAACATGAAGTAGACAGCATAGCAGCATCGCTTCTCGACTTAGGTTTCGAAAAGAATGATCGCTTTGCTGTTTGGCTACCAAATACATCCGAAAATGTCGCCATATCCTATGCAGCATCGAAAGTGGGGTTGATCAAAGTGATATGAGTTTTTCTCGTTGTCTATTTTCTTTGCCTTTGTTCTTTCTACATATTAGGTGAACATCAATCCAGCTTATGTCGGACGTGAACTAGAATATTGTATTAATAAAGTTGGCTGCAAGGGTATTCTACTTTCACCTATAGTTAAATCGATCGATTCACTTTCGATATTTCGTCGACTCGTGCCTGAACTTGATCAACGATCATCGTCGAGCGGTGAACTTGTCGCCAAAGCAGTGCCCACTTTAAAACATGTTATTTTGACTGGTGAACAAGCATCTGTGCCAGGTACACATTCGTACGTCCACTTAGTTAAGCGTGGAGCACAAATGTGTCATGATCAACTAGCTGAACGACAAGCATCGATCAATCCCGATTCTCCTCTGGAGATCTTCTACACTTCGGGTACAACAGGTCAGCCAAAGGCGGCCACATTGACTAATTTCAGTGTGCTCAATTTAGTACGCGCTCAATGGGAACTGCTGGGTCGATTTTATACTCATATGTGCGTATCTACTCCAATGTTTCATATTCTTGCCGAAGTTTGTGCTATACTCAATGTAGCTGTGGCCAAATGCAAAGTAATCTTTCCGTCCATCTTACCGGATACATTGAGCACGATGCGTGCGATTGATGAAGAAAAATGCACGGCACTTCTCGGACCACCGATTATCTTTCGTGATATCTTGATGCATCCAGAGAAGAAAAACTACGATCTCAGTTCGTTAGTTTATGCTGGATTGGGAGCAAGTTCAGTGCATATCGATTTTATGCGTCGTGTAGAAAAGGAATTTCCGATCATACGTACAGTACAAGGTTACGGAACAACGGAAAATTCGGGTCTACTCACAAGTGGAATGTGGGCTGGCGATGAAGATTCACAGCGACGGCAAGGATCAATGGGTCGATGTATGCAAGGTATAGAAATTAAAGTCGTCGATCAACAAGGTCAGACAGTACCGATTGGTGAACAAGGCGAGGTCTGGGCAAGAGGCTACCCGATCATGCTCGGTTACTATGGTGATCCCAATAAGACTGAAGAAACACTGACTTCGTCAGGATGGCTGAAGACGGGTGATATAGCCACGATGGATAAAGATGGTTATCTCTACTATATTGCACGTCAGAAAGAGATTATCATTCGTGGTGGTGTGAATATATATCCGGTTGAAGTGGAAAACATGATCATCGAACATCCAAGTGTAGCCGAAGCACAAGTCTTTTCCATTCCAGATGAACGATACGGTGAAGAAGTGGGCGCTTGGATTAAATTGAAACCGAATTCAACAAAATGTCAAGCAGAAGAGATTCGAAGTTTTCTAAAAAACAAATTGGCTTTCTTCAAAATACCTAAGCATATACGTTTTGTTGATCAATTCATTATGACACCGACGGGTAAACCGCAAAAATTTAAAATGTCCGAAGTCACGGTCTATGAATTAAAGGAAATGATCAATAAACATTGATTTTATTAATAATTTGATAATAATGGAGTTTTAGTAGAAAATGAGAATTCTTGCTTCACGGCTGCCCTCCTGAAGAATGACGCAAGAAACAAGAAAAAAATAAAATAAAAGGTTTTTTCTTTTTAGGTTCTAATAAAAGTGCGAATTTTCTTTCTGTTGTTTTAATGTGCTAAAGCGAGTCGTACAGCATGCTTTTCTCGATGATGTTGTGGATGTGAGTTGGTGAGTGTCGATGTAGGTGTGGGTGTGGATACGATATGGGTACGCGGTGTGAGTGTTAGTGTCGAATAAAGACCCTGATCCACATTCACATCCACACATCCGCACCCACGCCCACACCCACACTCTCAAGATTATAACGAGAGAAGACAAGGTAGTGATTTGTCAGATCAACTATTAACATATTATACATGTCTCAAACAGTCAATAAAATGGTATAAAAAGGTGGCATTTGAATTGGTATTTGGAACCACAGTAGTTAATAATTATTTGATTTACAAGGAAAATTATGCCGCAAGCGACATGACCATTCTGCAGTTTGATGAGAGTCTCGTGCGATCTGTACTCCTTGGTACGCTATTTGAGAAGCTGAAACCTGGTCTGAGACAACAATCAGCAAGTTATTCGAAGTGCAAACTCGCTGATCACAAGTTCGAAGAAAAGGAAGGATTTGCGCGCAATGTCTGGAAGCGCTGTGCTGATGGCTATGAGAAAAGCAGGGAATAACAATCAAGAGAAGCGAGCATGCTGACAGCAAAGAAAATAAAAACCTTCTGTGATGACTGTAACAAATTTTATGTCTTGATTGTCTTAACGAGAAGCATCATGCTATGGAATAAAGAACTCAAAAATTACTGAAGACAGAGCAAGTGACACATTATGTGTAACGTCCTGCCTAAGTAAAAGGCAACAGAAAGCAGTTCTCTATATAATCTCTTCTTAAAATATAGTGTGACCCCACCGATGGGTCACATCGGGCTGAATGTGTTAAAATGGTCCACCGAAATATATTAAAAATATACCATTAAAATATGATTTGTTCTTGATTTGGATGAAAAAATCCATTTCTAAAACTTATTTAGCGTTTTTCTTCGAACACGGTTTCTAGGCAGGAGAATAGAAATAGCTCACTCTTGACTCTGGGTATCACCGATGTTTTTTTTTGTTTTAAATGTCTGAGTCAGAACTAACTTTGCATCGGGCGGGTTTTTTATATTTGATTTCTGAACTGAGAAAAATGGGATTTACTGTCGTGGAGTGACATTTTTTATGCCTATTTTGAACACCATGTCTATTAAAATGCTGATAAAAAGTGAATGGAAGAGAGTTTAAAAATTTTGTCGGATGAAAAGTTGCCCATAGAGACTAGCTTTAATTTGAAACCAACTCTAGCTCTGTACCCCTCATAATGATGGAGTTATTTCGGTTCTTCTGAAAGGTACAAGAACAAGTTAGAAGTTCGGTTTAGTGGGGTGTATCAGGTTGAAATTTTTACCACATGTGTTTCTCATTAGGATCACTCATTCCTGGAAGTTTCAGTCCAAACGATCAATTCTAACTGATAAATCAATTTTGAGGGGACCCCTTAAGCAATAGTTGCTTATTGTCCATTTAATATAAAAGATATGATCTCATTTACATATATCTTTTTATATTACCTTCTTTGAGTTATGCGGCGTGAAATTTCACGAGTCAGAACTCCTGAAAACATATATAAATAATCGAATGCTCAACCAGAAAAAAGTATAACGCGAGTAGACTTATATACCGATAATGTCGGATTGACTAAAACCAGGTTTTGAGTGTCAGAAGCGCAAATCGGCTTGGATGCGAATGCGAGTGAGATCGTAAATACAGTTTTGCATGAATGCAATTGTACGTATCAGATTTTTCTCTGATGCATATCTACTTCGAGAACCACATTTAGATAGGACGACTTACATTAAAGCTATTCGGATACATCTCATCAGTTAAGGTTAAGTGCACACCATCTAAAAATATCCCTGATTGCGTATTTATATCACACAGAATGTGTCATTTACACATCAATCCTTCCTAATCAAATTAGTTGGTAAGAAAAAGCAGCAACACATTAAATATACTGCTAGCCGAATAAAGCTTGACAGACTGATAGCCGAATATCGAAAACATCTCATTGGCTGAAGTGACGGCCTGAAAAAACTTCATATATATTTCATGCGACTGAGATTATCGAATCTATAATCCCACTAACACATCTGAATACGTTAATCTTCCAAATGATTGCCAAACTACAAACTCATTTTATTTCAAGTGATCTTTTTTAGAGCAGGGAAAAAGCTTTGTTCTCCCCAAAACGTTTCCCTGATGATAAAATTCTAAATGAAAATTTCGAAAGATCAGCTGCACATTTGGATTTTTGAAGCTCAATTTACTTCCGTTGAACATTATAAAATGTGATTATTTTGCCAAAACTACCTTTTCTTTAATCAAAAAAGCCAAGTACTAAACTTTTCGCTACCAGCTTCCCGGTAACGAGGGGGTGTGGGTGTGAATGTTAATGTGAATGAAAGCGATCGACACCCACACCCACACTCACGCCTACATCCACATTCACACCTACAACCATACCCACACCCGCACCTACAACCATACCCACACCCACACCTACACCCTCTCTCTCTCTCTCTGATGGCACTACACATGGAACATGTGTAGGGAGGGAAGTGTTAGGAGTTGAAGTATTCTCCTTCATTCATAAGGCGAAACAAACAGAATAAGATACACTCCTTTCTAGCACAGTGATTAATACGACTCCCCGGAAAGCAGAAGATGCATAGTTCGATTCCATGCGAAGGGAGCTTATTCTTTTGTTTCGTTCTGTAATACCATCACGTTGCTATTTCGTTGATATCAGAGTATAATATGAGAATACGAGCAATAAACAAAAGAAATAGGACATAACATTCATGTTCATTGAGTATAATGTTTCGTTGAGGATATTAGTGGTATATATCGATTTCTTTGTACTTCAATGTTTTGGCCTTTTATCCAGTAACGACCTATCTGATCACCCGGGATCAATTGAATCTTATCTGTTATATTATGCCAACTACGAAAATCATGTATAGCTCGTTTACATTCTGTAATTGCATAGTCATCTATGATAATAACACCACCAAGCTGCAATTTCGAGTATAAATTGAATAGTTGATCCATAGTTGATTCGTACATATCACCATCCATTCGAAGAACAGCTATTTGAGAAATATTACAGCGAGGAAGTGAATCAACAAAGTATCCTTTACAAAAATGAACATGATTATCCAGTAAATTAAATGAACGAAAATTCTCTTGAACTTCTTCAAGTGAGACCTAGAGCAATAAAGATAATAGTTCATTTCGCTCATAAAATCAAATAACTACCTTCAAATATTCCATCTTGGACCAATTATCATTATCATTCTTCGTTCGCGCTTTTGGTAGTCCTTGAAATGAGTCAGCTAACCATACATGTTTATCCTTATTATTTAATGCTTTTAGTACAGCGCGAGCAAATATTGAACTTCCACCTCTCCAAACGCCGCATTCAATAAAATCACCCGAAACTTCATTTGCAATAACGAATCTTAACGCCCATTCGATATTTATCAATCGCTTTTGTCCGATCATAGTAACACCAATTAAAGGCCAATCTAAACCTTTTATTCGTTGGTTGATATCCATTGGATGTATTTGATTATCGTAACCAAAAGTATGTTCACGCGTGCGAAGAGCTAAGCCGCACACAGTATCACGAACAACATCGAGATAGGCACGAACAAGGGGACATTCGTCAGGAAATACAAAAACTTGATTGTCGTCATATGAAGTATTGATCATTCGACGTATATTTGAGCGTTGATACAGGTTGATTTTTGTAAAACGAGACACGAATGATAAGGAGTAGGAGGATTCATTTAAAATAACAAGTACAAGAATAAATCCAGCTGCAAAACCCAAAATGATACCGTGTGTAAATGACAGAACCATGTTAACTTTTTAGTTGTTTGGAATGTTTTTCCTTTATCAATATGAACGATCATAATATTGAATCTTCCACATCTTAATATCCTAAAGATTCATCACAAATAAAATAAGAGGATAACATTATAAGAAATCTTCAGAAAGAGTCCGCCAAATGATCATATTACTCTACCTATAGGACGGTCCACAAAAAAATGTTTATTTTTGATTGAGTTATCTCCAAGGCAAAGCCTATGCAAACCATAGCTAAATTCAAGATATTAGCTCATTTGGTATTAACTGTGAAAGAACGCGACGGATGTGGGTGTGGATGCACTCTAGAAAAAGGTACCTTACGAAACCAAAAAAGAATCTTCTCCTGAAGACTTAGAAAGATCCTTTCTTGATTTCGTAGAAAATCAGGTTTCGTATCAAACCTTTTCTAGACTAATGGAGTAAAAGTTTTGCACATGGATTTCATACAAAACTATTTTACGCAAAAAAAAGCAGGGTGCCATACGAGAGTTTCATAATGACCTTACATCAATTCCGTTAGTCTTACCTAGTTACTCCTATATCTTTATTTATACGCTTAAAGCCTTATTTCTATACTTAACCACTTACTCCTATACTAAACCCCTTATTACTATTATTAATCTCTTATAACTAAGTCTAATCTTTAATTTTAACAGGTTGATCAATTTATTTTGAAACAATTTCCACAGACTTCTTCTTCGTTAATGACTTATTCAGATCTCATGATTCTCATATCAATCTATCTTACTAAGACTGTAGAGGTTGCTCTAGTAATCAGTTTTTAGATAAATGAATATCCCGTAATAAAATGTCTGATGATATTGAAAGAATCGTTAAAAAGTTTTCTACAAAAAAAGTACAGGTACTTTGACAACTAGATATAAACTTTTCTGATTAATTCGCCATACTATTGTCGTTTGATCTCGAACCTATGCAACAGATACATCGATAGTGAGGGTTAGCTACTCGATTCATTGGTGACAAAAATGCTACGATGCAGCGGAAAAATGACACTAACGTCAAAAATGGTCTACCACTAAACCCTTCGCACTACAAAAATGATGTGTAGTATTACTTTTATGCGTATCTGTTCACTCATACCTAATAAATGCCGGAAAAATGAAAATCAATAACAAAAATGACTAACATTATGAGAAAAATGTCTCAGGAAAAGTGGAATAATTCGATTATCATTAGAAAAATGATGTCTAGAATTACTTTTATACAAATATATCCACTCATAGCCTCTACGTGCGGAAAAAATGAAAATCAATAAGAAAAATGTACAGAGAAAAATGAAGTAATTCAATAAACATTAAAAAAATGATGTCTTCTATTACTTGTATATGTATATATTCATTCATAGCTTCTACGTGCAGGTAAAATGAAAATCCATAAGAAAAATGAATAATACTATAAGAAAAATGTACAAAGAAAGATGGAGTAATTCAATAAGCATTAGAAAAATGATGTCTTTTATTACTTGTATATGTATATATTCATTCATAGCTTCTACGTGCACGTAAAATGGAAGTCAATAAGAAAAATAAATAATACTATAAGAAAAATGTACAAAGAAAGATGGAGTAATTCAATAAACATTAGAAAAATAATGTCTTCTATTACTTCCATACGAATATATTCACTCATAGCTTCTACGTGCAGAAAAAAAGACAATCAAAAAGAAAAATCAATAATACTATAAGAAAAATGTACAAAGAAAGATAGAATAATTCAATAAGCATTAGAAAAATGATGTCTTCTATTACTTGCATACGAATATGTTCACTCATAGCTTCTAAGTGCTGGAAAAATGAAAATTAATAAGAAAAATGACTAATGCTATGAGAAGAATGTACAAGGAAAAATGGATTGATTCGGTCATCGTTGGAAAAATGATGTCAATACTATCTCGATATATATACAGGTATATATATCTAGATAGATAGAAAGACAGATACATACATATACATATAGATAGATAGAACTGACGAATTTCTATAGCTTTTACTAACATTGTTCCTATTGATAAAAATCATTTTATCTCATTACATTTTTGATGATTTTTTGCATTTTTCAAATTTTTATTTGCTGTATATGTAATTCATAGCATAAATAACTGCTTCGACATGTTACTATTATGATATTTCTTGACTAAGCCCATACCGAAAACTCATCATATTTTCTATATACATTAGCATGATGTCATTTTTTCAAATCATAGCTCCTACAGATATTTTCATTTTTCCTGCGAATTGTAGCTTTTTCGTTGATAACTTGTGTATGTAACTTAAAAATAGAATCATTTACGAAAAAATAAACATAATTCCATCATTCTAAATCATTATTCCTATGGAAGTGATCATTTTCCGCTGGGAAATGTATATATAGGTAAAAGAGAACAGCATCTTCCGCAACATATAACCATTTTTCCAGTTCTCTAAAAGATCATTCCCATGGAAACGATCAATTATGAATTTTCATTTTTCCATTAACAACTCATGCATTTAATTAAAAGATGGAATCATTTTTCCAATGATATAAACATTATTCGATTTTGACAAACCATAATATCTATACACATTTCATTTTTCCCATGGATTTTATGTTGTTGCAAGTGAAATTGTTTGTACGTAAGACAACGACCATTTTGATGTGGACGTCATTTTTCCACTGAAAATAAGCATTTTTTTCACTGATAGAAAAGCTGTCTACTGCTGCCTGTTGCATGCATTCAAACGCGTTTATTAAATAAAACACATCCAAACAGGTTTAGATTAGTTATGGGACGCGTTTTCAAGCGGACAATTTCGATTTTGCATCCAGATGGGTTCATAATTTTTAACAAAGTTACATTAAATGCGATTGGACGGTACCTATTGGCAAAATGCGATTGCATGTGTTGATTCTGTACGCTTTCTGATAGTCTTGGATTCCACTGATGCATCTAAATGCAGTCCGATTCTTTCTTTCGTATAGATAAGATGCATTTAAGTATGCTTCTAGCTATAGATGCATCCGATGCCATCTACTACTGTACAAGCTCTTTTATTAGAATAGATATCAATAGACCTTGATTGAGAGCGAGACTACGCGATTTTTGTTGAAAATGAGCGTGAGAATTATCTAATGATTTACGAAGATGAAGTACTAAAGCTCTATTGGATCTGATATTCCTAAAAATGACTATTCCTGGTTTTCTACAATTTTAAATGCAGCAACAATCAGTAACAGACATCGAATGAATGATACAATGGCAAAGTCTGTTCACTCTCCTGCCGTTATTCTCCATTGCATTGGATTTAGACAAATCTTTAAACTTATTTAGAACCATAGTATCACTTCCTAGTCTTCACGAGTCCATGTGAGACATAAATGAACACAGCAAGTTTGACTTTAAAGCTAAAGTGTGGATGTAGGTGTGGTACTCTATTAACAGCCACTCACACTTACATCCATACCCACTCACATCCTCAACGGTTGTTTACGTACTAAAGCGAAGCGTCATCACAATTATTCGGAAGAAATAGCAACTTTTCATAGGCTTCGAAGATTTTAACGGGTCAAAGTCCCAACTGTTTGGGATCAAAACATGCAAGCTATACCCCATTCAATAGAGCGTGGAATTGTGCATCGAATAGTATATGTTTCGTCAGTGGTTTATGTTCTACTCGATCTTCTCATCCTGAGTCTGCCATTGATGATAATCAAGCGAGACTCAAGCTACAGGTATTTGCAATTTCTGGTTAATTATGTCTTTTGATCGTATAAAAAAAAAAGTTTAATTGCATGCTTAAGCAGTGGGAAGTTAATTTCAAGACTTTTTCATGTTCCTCGACGTCATATTATCAATGCTATTTCTTGTTTTTGTCTGACGTTCTACGTAGAAGGATAAAACTAGAAGTAACAAAAATTAACACGCAGTCATTTCTAAGAATGAATTCTACAAGTGCTAACAACAAGAATTCTACAAAACGCTAACAATAATTACATTGTCCTTCTTCCGCTATCTATATATTTTGCTTTGATCGCTTTAATTATTGCTAGTGGTATATTAATATTGATTTCACTCAACAAACGGTTACATACCGTAAAACATCTGTTAATATGTAATACGTGTGTTTCATCAATTCTTTTCTGCGTCGTTTCGAGTGCAAATTACATCTTTCTCATTTTTATTCCATTGGAAGCAAGGGATGTTTTCTGTCGTTGGCGAGGCTATTTCAGTTATTTATCCATATCCACCGTCATGTATTTCTATACCATTCAAGCTTTATCGCGATTTTCTTTGCTATACTGTCGACAAACTATCGATCGATTACTTCATTTAAAACACACTATATCCTGATCGCCATGCAATGGTTCATTATTGCACTTCTGCTATTACCGTCTATTATTACACAAGACATTCATTATGCACCGTTTTCTCTTTGTTAGATGCCCATGGCTCGCGCACTTCATGTTTCTTACACAATTGTCGTCTACTATATAACATCCTTTCTGTTCATCGTCGCTATGTACAGTTATATTTATCGTCGAACCAAACGAAGTTCCAATATTGCACTGTCAAATGTGCCCACGAGAAATCATAAACGTGATATGTGAGTTCTGCGCAATATTATGATCTTACTAGGAATCTACGTAGCTGGCGGAACGTCAACATTACTTTATTTCGTTACACGAATTCAAGTTTTCTATCAGACCGGAATTGTCTTTATGTTGTTTATAGTTGTTATTGAAAAAGTTGTAACCATTCTTCTCGATCGTGAAATTTGAAATATTATCAAGCGTTTTCGAGAACAATCAACTACAACAGTTGTGCCAATCGACTATAATACTGCTACCTTAAGAAATCTCAATGTCATTCGTCCCAATTAATCCTTATGAATTGAACTGATCAACTTTCCTATTGATTTTCTGTTTACAAAGGTTGATGAAGCAATAACGACACACTGATATTGATGGCAACCTAAATAGGTGATGTAACATCGAGCGAATCAATTTTATTCTTTCTATGAACATAGACATTAAAGTTAGTACTGATATTTTATATCACACTCACTGTCTCTTTATTCATCTTGTTCAATTCTTGATGTCTTTGTAAATCGCATTTTTTTTGTGTAAAGTCAGTGTTTATACAATATAAAATCAGTACTTGATGTTCAAGTCATTTTAGATATGAGAGTGTGCCTGACGCTCTTCTCTTCAACTGCACTAGTAGTACTTGCGCCTACTCATACTCATATTCACAGGATGCCCTCAGGTAGACCTTGAATAAGTATCAAGAGTACCCCAAGGTAGCGCTTGAAAAGCTACAAAGCCTACCCCCAAGTAGCCCTTAAAAAGTTAGAGGTAGTATGCCAAGGTAGCAGTCTAGAATTGACACTGCGTATATGTATTAGCATTAAAATTAATGCTAAATTAATGCTAACACCTAAGCATCAATTAATCCTAATGCCATTAATGCTAAAGCATTAGTATTAGCATTATTTTTAACTTAATGCTAATACGACACCCCTACTCACACTCAAAAACAGACAAAGGCCGAATAAGAGTGTGGAAGGACAAAAAAAAAGCGATTGTTATAGAAACATCTTTTATGGATGACCCTTAAGATCTTTTAAATCAATTTCGTCGTCATCTTCTGATGTTTGACTTTCAGCATTTTTCGTTTCCGAACCACTTTCTTGATCGTAAAGAGAGTCATTATCACTTTCATCTTCAATCCAGCTATCCATAATTGTTTTAAAAATATTCTTGACAGTTTTATTCAAATTTTATGAGAAAAAGAAGTTTCAATCTGTAAGTCAAAAGTAAATGAAGAGGTACTAGATAGATTAGCATTAGCTGAAACAATAAATTGGTATATAAAGTTGAATATGGAAAAAATTGATCTGCTTTTTTATGATCTTACAAGCTTTCAATGTGATGCAATGACCTCATTGCTCAATAAATATAAAACAAGAAAGAGAAACAAGTCATATCTTTAATTCACAATCGAATGAATCATCCACCGTCCTAACTGGACAGCTCAAAACCGCTCAAAAAAATGCTTTTTAATGGATTGGGAATATCCAGTTGAAATAGTGATTGAGTCATCGGATTATGAGTAGAAAATTTAACTTGTTCTTCTTCCTTGTTATATGTTTGTTGTATACTGAAGACATGGTATTGTACCGGAGGCTTGTAATGATATAAAAAGAGAACAGAAATAAATTTCTTTTTAAGTTCAATAACATATATCAATTCGTAAGAAATACTAGTTGCTTCTGGAAATCAGGAAACAACAAAATATTTCCAGTGTATTGTCAAATTTTTGAGTATGAGTCATTTTTGACCCATGCTAGTAGTACTAGAATTAATTGGTTTTTGTCGAGATCAGTTCGAATCGTCAAGTAAAGATATCAATCTAAAACAATACATCACAGCACATCATACTTACACATCCTCACCAGCACCCACATTTGATAGGGCTGAAACTTTTCAAACACACTTGAAACTATTTAGTGTGCCTACTTTTTTTGTTTCAAAAATTATTGCCGTAATGATTTTTAGTGAATTTTGCAAGATGAATCTTTGTAAAAAAAGAAATTAAATATTTTTTAGATTAATTTCATTATTTCAGACATCTTTATTTGAAGAGAAGAAAATAAGAAGAAATCAAAAAAAAAGAACATGGACAATCCAAACACTTTCCGATAGTTATTAAAAAAAGTTTTAAATCGATCCAGCATAATGTGCCAAAGAAACAGGAACAACGATAGGGATTAGTTTGAGCTCCGATAACGACAACGATATCACATCAAAAAACAAATCATCATGCAAAGTCAAGTCTAGCATAACTTTTACTTTACTACTCTCAAGACTTATCTCCATTGAAAGTTTCATAACTTTTCATTGAGTCATTCTCAAGAAACTCCGTAGAATATTGTCATCTAACAAAATGGGTCGAGATCATCAAAAGATCATAATTCAATGGTAGAAAAGAACTGTCTTTAGCATTGTTAAAGACTGATCGACTAATTTTCAAGTAAGACCAACAGTGCGATATTTTTTAATTTATTTGAAAAAGATTCTTACCTGCAAAAAAAAGAAAATGACACAGCTCGTATTATCTGCTCATGAAATGAATATTATTAATGAAAGAAGTTCAAAAAATAAAATGCTCACTAATCATTTATATTTAAACTAAAAATAAGTGATAAATTTATGCAATGATTAATTGATATCAATCACACCTACAACCATTGATGTGGTATTAAAGAATACTCAATTTACTAATAAATGAAACAAAAACATTAAATTCGACCCAAAATTAGCAGCAGGTCACCTTATGATCAACTTTTTCTATCATCATGTGTTCATTCTTAGTAGTTTAAAAATAGCTGATCAATAGTCAAATTCATTTAATAGATTTTATTCCATTTCATGCACTACAAAGATGTGCTTTTAATCGAGAGTTAGCTACCAGTCATGTGGAATTGTGATTCTTTCTGTACAGAAGTGAAACTGAAGAAGATACAAGAAAGATATTAGCATGAAAAATTGCAGCAAATTTTCAATTTCTCTATCAAATATAAGTTTTTCTTTGTTTTATTTCTGAAAATGCAAAAACATTAGACTGGAGAAAAAGGATTGATGTATCTGTGACTTCGTTGTATTATTTGTTTGTGATCGTACCAGAAAATAAGTGCTTGACTTGATTGTAACTCGAGCAAGAACGAACAATGGCATTAATGAATAATAGAAATAGTAGATAGACACTTGTTGAATACTCTCATCATCGTATTAGATAAGCTTATCTTAGTACGTTTCCCTTGATAATTTTCATGTTAGTTGTATTGCATAGTTGAACGATGATTCTAGGAAGAAATCTACATGTGTGAATTCTTAGTAGCAATATCAATAGAAAAAAGAATGTCACACACATCATCAAAACAGAGTACCAAAAGAAAGAAGAGAAAATAATCATCTTGATGTTCACTCCATTTTCTTTCTATATACGATATAACATTGGTTTTGTTTACTGTAAAAAGTCATAAGAATGAATAACACTGACATTAAACTATTCGAAAACAAAAAGTTTCTACTTCATCGTGTGAAATTTTCAGTATTAATTTTACTACAAACTCCAGCTATTGTACTCTCTCTTCTCATATTTATCTTTTTTATTAAACAACGAGCTGATCTTCGTGCTCCGCATAATCAAGCTTTATTTATCTTGCTGTTGGTCAATTTCATTCAGTTATCATTTGCTTTGCCACTTTCACTTCATTTCTATCATCTTAGTTACGTTAATCCAGCTACGCCAACTTTCTGTACATGGTGGACTTTCTTTGAATTTACTCTCTATGTAACAAGTGAATATTTAATAGCAACAATTTCTGTTCAACGACACATGCTTATTTTTCATAGACATATTCTACGAATCTCTTGGATGCGTATTGTTCTACATAATCTACCACTTCTTTTTTGTCTTATTTATCCTATGCTATTTTATTTTTTTGCCATTGTTCTTTACTCATGTAATGGTACACAATGGGATTACACTAGTAATTTGTGTGGTTTTGCTCATTGTTATCTTCTTTTTGACAAAGTACTCGGCACATTTGACTGGGCATTTAACAATGGATTACCTATGGTTGTAAATGCATTAGCCAACTTAGTCTTAATTGTAAGAGTAGTTCGACAAAAGCGTCGTTTTCAACAATCATTGACATGGCGACAACAGCGACGTATGACAGTTCAATTGCTCACGATTTCCAGCCTTTATATTGTCGCTTGGACGCCATGTCTGATTGTAGCACTTGTACAAATACTTGGCTATCCAACATTTCTTGCTCAAATTCAAACAGATTTCTTTCTCGATCTCATCTATGTTGTATGTCTTTTTCTTCCATGGGTATATCTAAGTTTTCTTCCACCATTAACTAAATGGATCAAAGAATTGTTTCATTATGAACAAGGATGTAAGTTAGTTTCAATAACACGAATTATCCAATTCGAAGCAAGATTATAAATGGCAAATGCTTCAATTTTAATTTATATCAATTATAAAATTCTATCTTCTAATCATAAATGTATCCCATTTCTAGTTGAATTCTATTCATCGCTTTCTTTTTCATCTATCATCTATTTGTCACTTTGTTATCTTCTACAAATACTCGTTTCAAAAAAGAAAAAATGTAAGTATTTTTTGAATAACTTTTGATAGAAACCAGTTAGACAGCTACTATTTATATACTATTTAAAAGAGGAGATGAAACTACGTTGAATTATATATACCAGATTTTTCTAACAAGCTTTCTCTAAGTCTATCATCAAATTTGTTAAATACAAAACATTGTTTAATGTAAAAGTTTTACTTTTTAAAATTTCAGAAGTGCACTAGAGTCATTAACTGAATATCTATAAATCATGTAAATCTGATATTGTAAAGTTTAGCCAATCATAAGTTATACATATTTTACTGCATGTTATCGACAGATTTTTCATAAAAAATTGACGAGAAACTCTGAGAAAACTTGTCAGAAAAAATTAGTATACAAGATTCGATGCAGTTTCATTTTCTCTTTTAAATGATGAAAACCACAACTCTCTATCCAGTTTCTATGAAAAGTTATTCAAAACATACTCACATTTTTTCTTGGTTGAAATGGATATTGATTGTCATTCATTTTACCGTTGTTTTTGTATTCTATTCATTCATTAGATCGTGCCTTGTTCAGTTGACGCTTATGTATCAATAAAATAATATATTAGTCATCAATTTATTAGTTCTTCTTAAAGGACTCTTCCTTTTGTGAAATAGGTTTTTTTTAATGATATATTTATTCTTAAAAGAGTCATTGCAAAATCATCGTCTGTTGAAACTACAAGTTTTGTATCGAATCAAGTCATGAAAGCAGATTATTATTGGTAAATTGAAAAAAAAATAAACGATCATTATTCTATCTAACGGGTGGGGCAAAAGTTTTGCATTAATTTTGTTTTTGATATAACTCCGCAACGCAATGTCGTACAGACTCGATTATTTTTTGTTAGAAAGAACAAAGTGTCTAGTGCAAGAATATATAAAAGAATTTGATTTGTAATGTTTTTCGAAGGTCACAATAGTTTTAGAACATAAGGCTCCGAAAAACTCTTCCGCAACTTTGGTCACATTTTTTTAGTCCAAAAATATTTGTTTGAGCCTTTTTCATTAGCCACTTTCGACACTTTCGAGTACCATATATATACAGTTGCTCATTACAACGGAGATTTTCATTTGGTATTAAAATAATTGGTATAACATACAAGAGAATGAACAAAAGACACTTTGATAAAAACAAATTAATTGTTCGAATTTGGTTTTGCAGCGTGAAAATAAGTTTTTTTCTGAATATCTCACAGCGAAGTTGCGTCCTATTCCAAATAATATCGTTTGGTAGAGGACTCAATAAACTTTCTTTTTCATATAAAATATATAGCTTCTAGCAATCTCTCCTACGAAATAGAGTTTATTTTTTCGACTGCTATCAACAATGATGAAAAATTGATGACACAGATGATATCATAAAAGCGTTCGTTTCGACCGTTATAAAACATATAGAAAATTTCTTTTTTTGTACCGCAATAGTGCTCTATCTTTACATTATAAAATCCAGATTAGACGAATAAAAAGATAACCTGTCTAATTGTAGGAATTTTTTTCTCAGTTCAAAAAAGTTGCGGAAGAGTTTTCTAACGCCTTCTGTTCTAAGATTATTGTAGTTTTCGAAAAACATTTCCAATCAAATTCTTTTATATGTTCTTGTACTAGACACTTTGCTCTTTCTAAAAAAAAACAAATCTCCACAATATTGCGTTGTAGAGTTATATCAAAAACAAAATTAATGCAAAACTTTTGCCCCACCCGTTATTATGATAAAGAGATAAATTTTTCATGTAATAAATTAGACATTCTAAAATACTTTAGTTAATTTTCTTGAATATTTAAGAAAACATTTTTTGAATCAAGTGTGTTCGTAAGCGTCGGATGTGGTGTAGGTGTGTGTGCGGATCATCATTTCAAATGTGCCAACTATACCTACATGCACAACCTACATTCAGACCGTTATCGTATGACTATTACTCAAACTCATTTAGATACAGTTGAAATTTTCCATAGTGATGGTCCATAGTAATTAGATTAGAAAAAAAATAAAAGCAACTGATGTTATTTCCATAAATATAGTGTATATTATTGAGAGTATAGAATACTGTTGATTTGCTTTTCAATGATTCATGTTTATTCTTTTTTTAAAATTGTGTTATCACTTGACGACTAATAATACCTAAGCAAACAATACAATAATATAGAAAATGCAATACCAGACAATATTGCGTGTTAATAAAACACCATTTATCGTACCCCTAGTGAATGTACTGAGCTAAGGGTACCCGAAAAAGTACCCTGCTACTAGTATGTCACAGGAACTTTCGGGTACTGAAGTACCTTAAAGTACTTTTAGGAACCTATAAGGTACTCGACCAAGTACCCTGCTGGAAAGCATCCAGTAAATGGGTACTTAAAGGTACTGACCAAGTACCCAACCGGGTACTATTGTTCAGTAATTCTGGGTACCCTGTTGCCAAACTTGCAGTATGTTGATGATCGAAACTAACCTCTGGCGTTTTTTCATTTTTGTTTCTCTCAAAGCAATTTATGATATTTTTTCGATTTTATTTTATTTAATTTTTCTAATTCTGAAAAGTCAAGCAGGTCAAATTTCGAGATCTGACCGGACGCGAATTGGTCGGATCTCCATCAGACCAATTCAAGGTAGTCCTCCCTCAATCTACGATTGAGATCAGCATGTCCTCGACTAGTAAATAGTCAAGAAAAATAATCTAGAAAAAATTAGTATGAAAAAATATTTTTTTCTTATGCTTCCTCGAGTTGCTTATATGAAACCGTATATGCAAAAGAAAACGGTGAATGAACAGTTGCTATACAGAACGCAACAAATCTAGGGTACCCTGTAGAGCTTTTCCTAGTGAAATTACAGGTGTGGGTACTCATGTAAGTACTTATTCAGTAAACATACTGCAATAGGTACCCAATGTAGTACCTACGTCAGTATAATTACTGATAATTTTCGAAGTACCCATATCGGGTACCCTGCTGAGGCTTTCTCAGTATATGGGTACCCTGAACTCAGTACTTTCTCTAGGGACCGCATACTGTCTTTTTGACTGTATTAACGTATCTGCAAAAGCGCATTTTTGAGCTGGATAAATTTTCAGATATACGAATAAAAGATCAACAAATAAGAGTACAATACTGCTCTGGGATGAACTCTTAGTAATTACCTTTGAAAGAATGTTACAAATGAGTCTTAAAAATAGAAAAAAACAGCTCTAGATGATAATGACAGCTCGACTAGCGAAGAAGGTATTCACAAAGTAGTGGTAGTTAACGAAGTAATAATTATGTCATCAGAAGTTAAACTAGAAAACAGAAATTGAATAGTGTTATCTTCAACAGAGAATGGTTCAAAATCATCGAATATTAATGATCTTTAAAAGAATATAAATTTGATCTGTCTCAACTAGCATTTATCGTTCGTCATCAACAGTTTTCTGAACATTGCTAATACAAAACTAATATTGATAATCCTATGAACAATAAGAAACAAAAAAATTTTAAATGCTATGATTTAATCAACAATTATTTAAAATTTTTTCTTATCTTATACTGCAATGGATAAATATTTATTAGGTAAAAACGATTTGTCAAAAGCTCTTAAATCAGATGAAGAATACTCCTTAAAAAGAAAACATGTTCAATGATTCTGTCTATTTGTTAATTAGTTACGTTTTGTGATGGCATACAATGCGAGTGATTAGTATACTGAAACTAAAATTTAAAACTAACGGGTAGCTCGTAATAAACGAAGGTCTCAGTATCTTGTTAACACCTTAAGCGTTATCTTATCGCTCACTCTTTATTTTTTTTTATCGAAAGATTTACCGTCTGATTCTGCAGAAATTGGTATATTTCGCTGTAAAAAACACTTATATCACTTTCAACATTATCATGATTTAAAACAACAATTACACACAACTTTCAAAGTCTTCATTTTTTTCAGTTTTTTTTTCAAAACTTCCAGTTTCTTAATTAATCCTGTTGCTTTGAGTATAATTTGTTCGTCACTCAAAAGATAAATTGGTTCATTTCAATCAATGTACCAAAGGCAATTTATTTTATTTCTGGATAAAGAATATGACACGACCAATGATAATAAGACTAATCTAAGGACTGAATGTTTTTAGGAAAATTGAACAAAATAGAGATTTTGAAAGTTGTGTGTAGTGCTATTTTTAAATCGTGGTGATGTTGAAAGAGAAGGAGATAAATATTTTTACAACGAAATATGCAATTTGTACAGAAGCAGACGGTGAATCTTTTGATAAAAAAATAAAGCGTTAGCGATAAGATAACGCTTAAGATGTTAACAAAATACTAAGACCCTCTTTTATTACGAGCTACCCGTTATTTTCATATCATAAACATATTTTCTGCTGTCTTTCTGCTTTTCGATAATAAAACTTCTGTTATTTTCTGCTTTTCGGATTTCAAAAGGTGGCAGCACTGCTCACATCCCACACACAATTGACAACAAAACGTACCTCACACATTAACTCGTGCAGCAATACAAGCGCTTTTTACATCACAATCTTCATGTCATGTTAGTAGTAGAGAATAAATTTTTCGTTCTTTCTGTCTTTTTCTTTCTATCGTCAAGGATCAATATAAGAGGCACACAGTTGACAATGTAAACAACTTGCTCTCTGTCATAAAATTGCGATTGAAAAACAGCACAATTCTTTCAGATAACAAAAAACGCAATTGATATATTACATGAGAGTTCGAACAAAACGAGCTTTATCTTAACTTGAAACATCAGTGCGTGGTATCATGAGTAGATCCATGATTATTGAAAAACAATGCGGTTTTATCCAAGAGCAAGGAGTGTCTATAACCACCGAACAACTCAAGAAATCATTGGACACCATTGTTGCTGAATTGGACAAACGCAATCTAACGAGAGATGCCAATACTATCATAAAGGTATTAGCGTCCATTCAAATATATATTATAAAGCCATGCGGTGAGCCTAGTATCGTCGATCACCAACTATTTATTATTGTTCGTGATTGTTATCTTGATCTCCTGCGTCGATGGCGAGGTGGTCAAAGGCTCGACAAAGTTTCTAAGGAATTTTTTCTCGAAATTTCGACTACGTTTGCTCGTATTTGTGCCCATGTCACCAACGCCAATGTAACTCGATTTAAGGAACTTCTCATCTACAAGCCTCTTGTCGATGAGCTTACCGGATGCCTTACAGAGATTGCTACACACGGCAAATATTTACAAGATTCTCAGATAAATGCTGTCGATTTTATGATGAGAGCTATCTATCGTATCTTTCAAGGTCGAGTCCAAATTCAGAATGATCCATTGCTGAAACCACTTTTGGACGCAATAGTAAAATGCGTGTGCTCTTCATCTCTCGTCAACATATTCAAGCAAATAACTGAGTTGAAAGAACTCAATGAAGCACAAACACTCTTGCTTGACACATGTACCGATTACTTCTCCTGGTATGGTGGTAACCGGCGTGATGAGTTCTGTCTCGTCATTCGTACTACCTTACTGAGTCCGTTTACACAATGGCTGCTAAGTCACGTATCGTCCTTCCGACAATGGAGTGAAGTGACGACCAATGCTGTGAAAAAACTCGGTAATATCATTCTAGATTTTGACATGCAGCATGATACAGTCTCCAGCAAAGAAGTTTATAATGACTGTTACAAAATAGTTGATTCTTTTGTTTCGATCTTATCGTCGTTATCGAACACGATAACTAACAAATCTGATGATAATTTGGCAGGAATTTTCCTGTTACAATTATATTTACTCACGCTTGATCAAAATCTACTAAGCTATATCAAAAATCAAGAGTTATCTGCGATACTGCTGGAACTAACCAAGGCTGACAACGAATATGTGCAGTTTAATGCTTATCGCATTCTAGCCTCGATTCTGACTGAGCAGGACATCAAGGTGCTGACAAATCCAAGCAAAATTGCAAATGTCTTTCTTATATTCCTCACAAATGTAATTGATGATCCAAACAAAATTCTTCGACTTCGCAGCGTACTTCGTTGTCTCAAGAGTAAGAGCAGTTTCTTTTTCAGTTTTTCAAAACGATCTTTTGAACTAAAGGATTTTGATTTCACATATAATTTGAAAAGTTGTTTCCAATAATGCACTTCATAACCGATTTGTTTCACTACAGATCTCGTTCAACATGATCAAATCAAAGTGGAGTTTGTGAAACAAACTGATGGTCTTTCTCTTCTCATTCGTTGTGCAACAGAATCTCAGTTCGATCCTGCCAAAGTGCAACTAGTTGCACTCGATATTATCATGTCCCTAGCATTTAACGACGAGGTTGCAGCTTGGCTTCGAGAAAACAAAACTTTTGTTCAGTATCTACAAATGTTAACCTCGACTTCAAATAAATCTTATTTACAGAAGGCTTCTGATGGCATCCAATGGCGATTATTTTCAAAGTACGGAAAGTCTGAACATGAGTTTGAGTACGACGTTATGATATCGTATTCTCATAAAGACAAAGACATATGTCATCAAATTTACAAAGCACTCATGGCCGATAAATTTCGTGTATGGATTGATCTGGAGGAAATGCATGGTGCAATGATGCAGGTGATGGCTGATGCAGTTAAACACTCGCGTTGCATTCTAATATGTATGAGTGAGAGTTATTACACAAGTCCCTATTGTCAATCTGAAGCACAGTATGCATTCGAAAAACGACGTGTCTTGATTCCACTTAGAGTACAATCTAGTTACAAAGCTGATGGATGGCTGGCTTTTTTAACATCATGTCGAATATATGTGGATTTTACCAAAATGAATTTTGATACCGCCTATGCTAAAGTTAAGTCAGAAATTCTCAGAAGTCAAGCTAATAGAAAAGGTTCCTCCGGAATTCCATCACGGTCAACTGCGGCCGAAGCACCAATAATGAAGTAAGTGTGATTTTGAAATAATACAACAAGGGGCGTTGAAATTTGTGTCTGACAAAATTTTTGGAGAGATGGACTCCTCAAAGAGTAATCCAAGTGTTAGAAGAGTACCGAAAATCGGAAAATATAGGTATACGTGTGACGAAAATTTCAGAAAGTCACAAACAATATCTTATATGACATAATGTTAAGAAAGAGAAATCTCAAAATTACCAAGTTAAACCTTTTTAACAATCATACGGTTAAACTAGTTAATTCTCCAAACTCTTTCTTCCTTCGGCTGATGAGTAGAGAACGAGTTGAAAAGAAAAAGCAAAGCAATAACTGTTCCACAAATACCTAGGGATGCAATAAATTAAAGGCCTTAGAATTTGGTATACAAAAGTCTGGATTTAATGTAGACTAGGGTTTGCTTTTGGATTTGAATTTGGATTTGGTCTGAAATAACTCAAATCCGACGAGACTCCGTAAGATGAAGTACCACAAGGAGGCAACGAATCTCAAGCCTGCGAAATTGATATGAAATAATTTTGATTTGACATAGATTTGGACTTGAGTTTAGATTTGGATTTTAGATTTGTAAAAAAAGCAGAACTAGTTTGAGATTTGATAAATTGCATATATAGGGTGCGGGTATGAACGTGAATATGGGTGTGAATATGTGGATAGGATCAGAGCAGAGCAACAACCGCACTCAGCATAGGTAAGTTATCAAATCTCAAACTAGCTCTGCTGTTTTTACAAATCCAAAAACCAAATCGAACTTCCAAATCCGAGATATAGCTGCAATCTTGAGAGCAAATAAAAATAGCAAGAAATTGGTCCCAAACTCCAAATCTACTCAGGATTTGTTGCACCCCTACGAATAACCCGGGAAATCGAACTTGAAATAAACTGAGGTATCAATGTTGAAAACAGTTCACCCTTGTCAGCACACAGGACAGAAAAGATGAGGATTATCTCTACAGTAAATTCACTGAAAAAGTCATTCTAAGGATGTGGGTGTGGGTAAGGGTGTAGTTAGATGTGCGTGTAGGTGTGAGTTTACATGAGAACTAAACCCTGACCCATACTTATATCCAAACCCACACCCTATTTCACGCTTAAATACAACAGTCTCTGAACATCTGGAAAAGATTCCTCATTAGTAACATGATCAAACGTTTATTATATGTTTGACTTGTCTTTGTAGACCTCGACTATTCTCCACAACTAGCGATCAGTTGAAACAATTCAACTCTGGCATTGATCAATTGACAGATGAACATACACAAGAGTACATCGAGACTGGCGACAAACTGTCCTCAGTACAGTCGACTGTTACTAGTCTACAGAAACGAGTCGAACTGATGGATACACGCCTTGAAAGAGTGCGTGCAAGCATCATTTTTTACCAGTCGATACATCTTCTTTGTCTGCATTTAGATTACTGATTCACTCAACTGGATAATGAAGGCGATGGCACGTGTGAAAATGACTAAAGAGGATCCTCCACTTATTGAACACACGAAAAGTAAGGTTGATGAATAGGATAGTGGTTTCAAAAGTGTACTAGTTTACAATGATTTCATATAAATCATTCTAAATTTTCAGAATTAGTAGACTTTGATGTCGTCAATGAAAAAGTCATATACAAATATTTTTAGAATGACAACATGACAGCTTCCAGCCAACGATTTCAAGAGCTTTCCAGATAAAGACCATATTTCTAGTGTTTGATCATTTTAAATGACCGAAGGTTGAAACTTTTAGGGTAGATACTAGTAAACAAAACAAGCATTTTCTTAAATGAAATTTTTCTCTACAACATCTTTGCAAAGAAAGTTTCAGAAAAACTCGATCTTTACCCAGTTTTGAAGATTGAGTTTTTCTGACCAGCAACGTAGTTGACTCAACAATAACATATGCGTTAGAATCGTCTTCTGACACTCTATCCAACCACCAGTGAATCCATAATAAACATAATACGGTATACTTAAGTATCTATGCATATTCAATCATTATATCTAGCTCATAAAGACTATTCTATTGATAAAAAGGCTGAAAAACTGAGGTCGAAAGGTGATATGAAAATCGAGAAAAATTTAGTTAACTATCATGTTCATGATAGCGCCTATGGTATTTTTCTACCAAAACAGTCTTTGTCGCATCTGCTATAACTTATATCCTTCTGCTCGAATCCATTTAATTTTGCTGTTATATTGCGGTGAAGACTGCATTTAATAAATTCTGAAAAAGTGAGTCATTGTTCACAAGGAAATTCAGGAAACTTGGAAGAGAGTAGTAAACGGAAACAAGTTATTGACGATGTTCGTAATAGTTTTTCTAATATTTTCTATTATTAACTGTTCGAATTTACGCTGTGATCTATGGAAACAAAAATAACTAAGAAACAAATCATACAAAAAATTCTAGTTTGCAATATCTGAGATACCGTTAATGGCTTGTTCGATATCAGTGTGAATCATGGGACACACATACATCTTAGATAATCCATTTAGAGGATTTTCTTCTGTGATACTTTAATGATACGAGTTTATCAACTTTAATGTCGAAAGAGCTTCACTGACACATGCATATTACTATCGATAACATTGCATAAATTTGCAAAAGAAGTTTGATATTTGGGAAGAAGACACTATTGCATCGAACGTGATCCAGAACATGAGTTACATAGATCTTTTTAGTGAATACCATACTTATTAATCATTGAAAGAATAAGTACAAATGAACTGTTAACATAACTGCTGGTTATTTCAATGTTAAACTCTACAAACGCTCATCAACTGTCTGACGGGAATAGAAGTCATATTCAACAAAAGAAAGCTTATTGGATTCAAATAATAACACTAAAAAGCACATATATGTACAGAAGTTGGTGTCCTTTTTCGGGGCTCGTTCCTTTTAGAATACAAGCACTTTAAGGTCTCGTGCCAAAAATCTATTTTCGTCCGAGAACAACTGATCTGACTGAAAATTTCGGAAAAATATATGCCCCGATCTAGGGAGCTCACAATAAAAATTTCAGCCCAAAATATTGAGTTCTTCAAGAGTTATCTCTATATTAAGGGTCACAAAGTAGGCCTCCGTGCGTGTCAGATTTCTCTTCCAAATCTAACGATATAAGTCTCGGGTTGGCGTCAAAATATACCAACACTTGCCGCTACAACTTAACAGAGCCCAATTTTTCAAATTCTTCTTTATTAATTTTTTAGCACTAGTTTTTTCGAAAAATTAGTGATATTCCTGTGGGAAAATGTTCACTTTTCTCAACAACTATATCAAGAATAAAAAATCCAGCTCTATTAAGTTGTGGAGCACAATTTTCTCTTCAGTTTAAAACCTTTCCAAGCTTTCTAGCATGTAAAATGTCTGTCAAATCTGGGACACACGAATAAAAAGCCAAAAAACTCTATACGAGAAAAGCGCCAAACAATGTGGAACTTTGAAAATCCAGGTTTTTTCCTTCGTAGAACGATTCATGAGAGACTACATGAAGAGAATGCATGAAGTACACTTGGTAGAGCATGCGAGATATGTTCTTCCAGTCAGAAGCCTACAGGCAAAATCAGGGGTTTCAAAAACTAAAATTTAACAAGCATTTTCTGTTGGTGAAGTTTTTACAAAATCTGTTGAAAATCATGAAAAAAATCATCAGAAAATCTCCCGAAATGATAGTAAAAGCTAAGATTAATAGTGATTCCGAAGGTAGAAAATGTGGGCTA